AGAAACAGGGAGGAATTTTGGTCACCCAGGACCTGTGACAAGGGTCACAGCAGGGTACTGCTGAGCCACAGGGAGGCAGACCAGAAAAGAGATAGCCAATTTTCTACTCTTGCACACCTTTGAACACTCAAAGTTACCTTGAATACTTTAAGAAGGAACATATAAACCACCAGATGACTAGGACCAATTGTAAAGGCACCAAAAAACATGAGCAAACAAGCAATCCCACATCACCCACAGACATGTCAGATAAGCAATTAAGAATATTTGTAGTGACCAAATTAACTGAGATCCAAGAGAAAAGAGACAATCAACTCCAGGAGATGAGGAAGTCCTTTCATGATTTGAAAGAAGAAATAGACACCTTAAAAAAGAATCAGATGGAACTATTAGGGTTGAAGAATGTGATACAGGAAATTAAAAACCACCCTCAAAAGTATTAAAAGTAGGAACCAGCAGTTGTCTGGCGAGCGCACGCGCCCTACAGTGAAAATGTCTCCAAAAAAAAAAAAAGTATTAAAAGTAGATTAGATCTCACAGAAGATCAAATCTTGAATGTAGAAGACAAAAACTCTGACCTAGAAAAAAAGTATCAAGAAAATTGAGAAAACAACCAAGAAAAAAAAAAAAAGAGGATAATATACGAGGAATACTGGATACCATCAAGTGCCCCAACATTCAGATAATTGGTATCCCAGAAGAGGAAGAAAATAATAAGGACATTGATAATTTATTTCATAAAATCCTGCAAAAAAACTTTCCAACCTAGAGAGGCATTTCAGACCCAAGAACTACATAGGACCCCAAATATAATCAACCTAAGAAGATCCCCTCCAAGGCACATCATAGCCAGATTGGCAAAAACAGCAGACAAAGACAAAATACTAAAATTGGCAAGAGGGAAATCCAAGTTACCTACAAAGGATATTCCATCAAGCTAACATTGGACCTCTCATCGGAAACAATGCAGGCAAGAAAAGAATGAGGAAATATAGTCAAAGTATTGAATAAAAACACTTTCAACCAAGAATACTATACCTGGCAAGATTATCTTTCATATGGGGAAAAAAAGATCAAAAACATCATCAGATAATCAAAACCGGAAAGAATTTACTAACTTCAGACCAGCTCTGCAAGAGGTTCTGAAGAGAGTGCTGTACCAGGAAAACTAAAAATTCAATCAGGTGGATATAAGAGAACAACAACAACAAAAAAAAAAATCAAGAAACTGGCTCACTTAATGATAGGAATGGGTCTGGAAATATTGATAATAACATTGAATGTTAATAGATTAAATTCTCCAATTAAGAGACACAGACTGGCCGAGTGAATAAAAAAACAAACCCTCTAACTGTTGCCTACAAAAAATGCACCTTTCGGATAAAAACATACATAGACTAAAAGTGAAGGACTAGAAAAAGATATTTCATGCAAATAGAAATCACAAAAGGGCTGGAGTTATGATATTGATTTCAGACAAAATAGGCTTCAAGACAAAGATTGTAAGAAGAGACAAAGAAGGGCATTATATAATAGTAAATGGGTTCATTCAGCAAGAAGACATAATGCTTATTAATATCGATGCACCCAACACAGGAGCACCTTAATATGTGAAGGAAATACTGCCGGAGCTAAAAGGAGAATAGGGAGCAACACTGTAATTGCTGGAGATCTCAACACCCCATTTTCTCCTTCAGACAGATCTTTTAGACAAAAATAAGTAGAGAGATACAGGACATAAATGATACTATAAATCGAATGGGCTTGATAAATATCTATAGAACTTTCCACCTTAAGACCACAAAATACACATTTCTCTCACCCTGGCATGGAACCTTTTCAAAGATTGACCATATGATAGGACACAAATCACACCTTTACAGATTCAAAGGCATAGAAACTATATATGGCATTTTCTCTGACCGTGATGAAATTAAACTTAAGATTAATTTCAAGAAATGCCCTCGAAAATACACAAATACAAGGACGCTGGACAGCCAACTTCTGAATGAGTTCTTAATTACTTAAGAAATTAAGTCTTAAATTTAAAAAATGTATGGAAACAAATGATAATGAGTACACAAGTTTCCGCAACCTATAAGACATGGCAAAAGCAGTCATAAGAGGAAAATTCATAGCAATTAGTGCACATTAAAAAAAAAAGATGCAAAAGTGGCAAATAGATAACCTAACATCATGCTCCAGGGAATTGGAAAAACAACCACAAATAAAACAAAAAAAAAAAATGCCAGGCTAAAAGAAATTTTAAAAAGATTTGAGCAGAAATAAATGAAATATAAAATAAACAAACCATACCGAAAATAAATGAAAGCAAAA